TTTCTTTTCATGATCGACAACCACGATCCTATTCATTCGTCACATTGGCTCATTCTGCTGTATGTACTTTTGATGGAATTTGTAATGTTTGATGGATATCTGTTAAGTTTCTTTCTTATGTTGAATTTTCTTGGTTTTCATCATTTTCCTAAGCTCCTTTTTAAAAAGATATTTATCTGCTCTAGAGTTACTAATGATGTCCTTCATTATGGTCATCATCTCTGCAGTTATCTAAGAAATTATTTCTGATTTAATTTTTTCCATAGCCTCATTCATCTACTTTGTTACTTCCACGATTACCACTTAAGAGAGTCTAAGTGGGTGGCTTTCAAATTGTTCTACTTCATTGACCCCTTGGTTTTCCTTTGTCAAGCTGCAAGTCTGAGGTTACACCTTGCTTTTGTGTCTTCTCATTTTCTATTTTTTTGGAGGGGGGATAGTTTAATCCTGAGGTTTATGCTTATAAATTTCTTATGGCAAGTAGCTTTATTGCTAGTATTGAGAACCCTTAGGAAATGACTACTTCTCAGAGATGTCTTCCAGGTGTAGTTGGCATTTGGGTTTTGAGTCTGTTACAAGATCCTCCCTCTTCTATTTATTGGGGTTGAGAAGTTGCTGCCTATTTGGCCTACCCTCTGGTTCTTTGGTACTGGCCTATAATGTTCTTTATGACCCTTAGGCAATCTCAGTCTTGGCATACCAGGAAGATTCTTGGCAAAAGTGGTATAATCACTGCTAACAATAGCATCAAATATACCCTAGAAAATGACAAACTGGTAACTATTAATTTGCCACCTTTAACTGCATGAACTAGAGTTGTGGTTATATAACAAAATCTAAAACCAGAAAATTGTATATAGTAAACATGCTTTCAATATAGCAATTTTACCCTCAGAGAAAAAATTTAAATAGGGTTATGGGGGAAATAATATAGAAATAGAAGAAGAGGAAGAGAGTAGAAGCAAGGCTGAAGTACAGTGGAAGATTATGCAAACCTTGGGAACCTGGTGAAGAAGGCAGGAGGGAAAGAAAGAAGGAAGAAATAAAATCAAGAACAAAACAGAACAACAACAACAACAACAAAAAACTAGAAATAATATCACAGTCATATAAAAACAGGAACAAACATTCAAAAAAAAGAGAAAAGAAAAACCAAAAGAATAAAAAAAAGAAAAAAAATATGTTCACTTTAAGGGATTTCTCTGCTGTCACTGGTTGACAGAGTTGGGAGACAGAGCCCCATGTTGATTAATCCCAGCAAGCCAGCCTTAGGTTTACTGTGAGACAGTGGATAATCCTAGGAAGCCTGCACTTTTAGTTCTACTGAAGCTCAGGCTGGTTTCTGGCTGTGAGGCTGGAACCTGATTTGTTCCAATTGTAACACTGCATGTGCCTCCTGCTGGCTTGAAGTCAGCTTCCTGACGACTTGAACTCAGCTCCTTAAGCTCCTTGACCTCCTGCTGACTTGAACTTGGTTCTGCCTCATGCTGATACTGGGAGGCAGTAGATGGAGCCAATACATAGCTGCTCTGATTTATGAGCTCAGTTGGCCCCTCTCCAAGATGGTGACTAGCCAGCCACCCTCTCCTGGGGGATGTCTGAACCTGAATAACTCACCAGCCCCTGCAGTCCTCTGTGTCCATAGTTCTATTCCACTGGTGTGTTTCTCCATGGAGACCTCTGGGGTTGCCAGTAGTCACAATGAGTCTGTAGGTTTGAGCTGCCCTTCCCATGCAGCAAGTTAGGCCTCAAGGAAAAAGTACCACTTGCCATCTCCTTCTTCTGTATTGAGGTCTCTTTCTTTACTCTCCCAGTGGGCTTCATTTCTTGCTTCAGATCCTTGCTGGGTCTTGGAGACCCACTTCCCTCCTTTCTCTCTTACTCACATTCCTATATTTTAGCATCTGGACTCCAAATCTCAGAGAAGCTGTTTCTCTGCTGTTCACTATTCTGCCATCTTCCTGGACATCTCTAGCCCTTTTTGTTAACAGCAGTGATAATACTCATATTATGTTACAACATTTTATACTCAAGTCTTGTCAAGTAGAACTTGTGTACCAGACTTTGGAATTTAGAATCAGTAGTTTCATGTATCTTTTTTTTTGTTTTGTTTTTTGGTACCAGGGATTGAACTCGGGTCCTTGTGCTTGCGAGGCAGGCAGCGGAACCACTGAGCTAAATCCCTGGCCCAGTTTCATGTATCTTTGTATGTTAGGTGTTTTAGTCTTGGAGATGTTACAAAATGAATAATTGATACAGCTTTCTATACCCTTACTGGAGTGAAAAGGAGATAAAATACCTTAAAGTCTTAGGGATAACTCATTTTTGTAAAAGAGAACAAATGCCACTGTGTAGTTCTTTGCCTTCTGGCAAGTCTGTTTGGAGTCACTGGTAGTGTGTGACTTGTCATTTTCTTGCTTCAGCTTAATCCTCCTCAGGTTTTAGAGTACTGAATTCTCTGCTTTGAAAATAAGTTAAAAGCATTTATAATATAGGCAGATAACATGTATTCGAGGAGTAATTTATGATTGAGAATAGAAACCTCTTCTTGGGGTTTAAGGTTTAATTTTAAACTACTGAAAATGATTCAGACATTTTTTTTCCTGGAATTTGTTAAGAATACAACATCTGTCAGTCATGGCTTCGTTTTCTCTGGAGTGTTTGGAGCAGGATTTACGAGGTGATCGCCACACTGTACTCCGTGCCTTTCTCGTTAGATTCTCTCTGATATCAAGAAGGAAAGACTGAAAAATCTAATTCCTAATGGTTTTTAACTTAAGCGACTTCAGTCATTTAGTTGTGACAGGTGACTGTTTGCCTTCTGAAGTTCCTTTTTCTGGACAGTTCTCATATAATTTTATTGTATTGTATTTTATTTATTTATTTTTTGGTACTGGGGATTGAACTTGGGATCTTATGCTTTCAAGGCAGGCGGCAGAACCACTGAATTAAATCCTCGGCCCTCTCATATAATTTTAAATGAGAGATAAGTAATATCTAAGCTGTTGTTAGTGCTATGTCCTTGAAACAGTGCTAAGTACAGCCTGGACTGGCAACTGGGGGTTAAAATGTTATTAAAGGAGCTCAAATTGTGATGATGGTTGATATTTGAAATTCCTTCATTTCATCCTTAAGTTCAAAATTATCCTCAAAGCATTTGTTTTTACATTTGTAAATGCCCTTGTAAGGATTTTGGTAGCTGTCATTCAGAAGTAGAGATCATTTAGAGCTCATTAACAGACAGTATTCTCTCTGAAAATGACATGGTATCTACTGTAATCCTACCGTGTTTTAATAGTCTATTCTATGCTCAGCAATGAAACATTTCAGAAGTGAGTGACAGCCAATTGATGTAATTCATGGTGATCTTTTGTGTTGACAGATCTTTAAAAAGTCATGGGAAATTACTACTGTACCCAGTGAAACCGCCTTTTTTTTTTTTAAGCTGCCAATATCCTAAAAAACAGAACAATTTTCTCTTTGATTGCTTCTGTTTTTTATTTCACTAACATGACACGATTCTTCCGTATTAATAGAATTTCTTTTGATAGGCAGAATGTGTTCCCTGTAGGTAATGCTGATTTTAAAATAGAAATTCTCCAGTTCTCCAAATTAATTCTCTTACTTTTCCAGCTTCAACATGAAGACAAGCTTGTTGTAGCCACCTTCCTACTCAGGAAGAAGAGTGATTTAATTTAGACAGTTTAAATAGTTTTTAATGATTTTAGTTTTCTTTTGAAGGAGAAACACAATGAAAGGAAGAAGGTGTTTATTTTGGTGGGTTGTTTTTTTTCCTATGCCACTTAAAAATTAAACAGCTAATGCTTTGGGTAATTTTATAGAAGACAGCAGTCTTACGTCCAAAGACCCATATCACTGGATTCATACTTTGAATGAATGGGAAGGGGTTGCCAATACATATGAACTTGTCTAATGAGATCTGGAAAATAATATAGGGATCTAGTTGCACTGTGGCCCTAACTTTCTGTCTAAGAGAATTTGCTGGAATCTCACCTGTGTCTTTACCCCTTATCATTGTGTTTCAAAAGTAGCTTTTTCCTAAGATCTTTATTAAGGCTGATCCTTATGGATTACATTTACATTATGGGATTGCTAGAAAATCATTTTATTTTGATTTCTGTTATGGTACAATAGAAGTAATGATTATGCCCATTTTATCTACTTCTCCAGGTTTATGGGAAGACAGTGTAAGAAAGTGAATTTTGAATTTTTTGACAAACTTCAATCTTATATAGATCAAATAATTATTCTTATTGTCATCTCCAACTAATGTACTTTTTGGTGTGTGTGCTGAGGATTAAACACAAGGCCGTGCAAATGCTAATCACGTACTCTATCCTTGACCTGTATCCCAGACCCAATATTGCCTTCTTCAAGAAAAGGAAAATAGTATTAACAACAGAATATTTGATTTTCACAAAAATTCTGGGTTAGCAATTATTGTTAACCTTTTATAGATAAGGAAATTATTTGAGGAAAGTTATGAAGCTTTCTCAAAATCAATAATTTGTTCATCACTTGGTTTTTATGATTTAAATGCCCATTTTCTTTTCTCTAATATAGTTTGCTAATATACTGCAATCTCTCCTAATATCTCTCTCTTCATCATGCCTAATTTTGAAACTTTCTGTTGCTATTTCAGTTATTCTTGTTATTTAATACATTTATCAGTTATTTATTGGCAGGCAATATACCAAAGAGTATTAGCTTTTGTTCTTTGTGTAGTTTAATAAAACAGAACAAAACGTTTTTAAAATAGAGTGACAAATATTGTTATATGAGGAGAAGTACAAAATGTTTTGGGAGGTCAGGGAAGTCTTCTTGTAGTAAGTAATATGTAAGCCAGTGTCTTAACATACACTGTAGATTATGGAAGGCTCTGCTGTTACTTTTCTTTGTCTTGTACTAACAGATTCATACTGATTATTCATTCTGGGAAAATAGTCAAAAGATTTTTACATGTGCTTATTATTTTCTAGCTTGTTCAGATTATTATCAATACAACACATTTGGAGAAATCCTGTAAGTATTTGGAAGAATTCATCACCAATATCACTAATGTGCTTCCAGAAACAGTCCATACCACTAAGCTCTATGGCACTACAACTTTTAAGGTAAGAAGCCATATGGTACAGTGGAAATGCTTTTTTTGTAGTATATAGTCTGGGCAGGCTACTATCATGGCTTTGTTTCCTCAGGATAATTTAAAATTCCTCTTGAGAATAAGTATTTATTAAGGGGTTTGTTTTCTTAGAAAAGGAAATACCAATAGTAATTTTTGATATTTAAATTTAAAAACAAAACAAAACTAAAAATATGCTAGTATGTCCTCTGAACTCTTGTTTTGTTTTATTTTGTTTTTGGTTGTTGAGACAAGATCTTGCTATGTAGTTGGAGGCCTTGAACTCGCTATGTAATCTAGGCTGGCCTGGAACTTGCACCAATCCTCCTGCCTCAGCCACCCGAGTGCTGGGATTACATGTCTGTGCCACCATGGCCACACTAAACTTTTTCTTATATGTTGTTCAAGAAAATAACAATTCTCTAAGTTGACCCTGTCACAAGAGTTCTAATTGTGCTCTATTCATGGTTATGACTGACATCAATATCAATTCAAACTTTCTACTCAGCTATTTCCTCGCTCTGTCTAAATTCTAATCTTAACTTTTAATGAGAAATTCCCATCCCATGCTATTATATTTAGCAATTTTGTAATTATTGTATGAGGACAAAGCACGAATTTTGACTTAGTATTAGATGAAATGGAAAATGATACTCTTTTTAAGCAAAACAAAGATTAATAGCGAGTTTCTAGAAGGTAAATAGCTTAGCCTTAATAAACTCTTGTTTACTGCCATATGAGCTTTAAATTGATGTTAAGCAGAAAAAGTAATATAGTGACATCTTGAACTTTATTATTTTTTTTCCTTAAATTCTTTTATTGGTACATTTTAGGTATACAAAACATTTACATTTATCATTGGGTACTTGTACCTCTACATGATGTATCTTTGTTCTCATTTTTTCCACTTTCCCAATCCTCCCCTCACCCCCTCCACCCTCCCCTATTTACAAAGACTTTGTTTCCATTTTTTCCTTTTCTCATAATTTTTCCTCTCCCTTCTTTCCTTTCCCCTTCCCCTCCCACTTCCTCTACTCCTTTGAACCTTTTCTTCTTATTTCAAATTATCAATTATTCCTTTTAATCATTTTAATCCTTATTTACACTTTCAGTTTCTCACACCGGAGAAACCATTCAGTATTTACACATGTGTGTCATATTAATTTCACTTAAGAGTGTGGCCTCAGTATGCATCCATTTAGCTATAAATGTCTCTAGCTTGTCGTTCTTTATGGCTGAGTAGTACTCCATTTATTTATGTATTTATTGGCACTGGGGAAGTACTCCATTTTATACATAAAAATCCACATCTTCTTTATCCAGTTTCCAGTTGATGGGCACTTCAGCTGTTTCCAAGCTTTAGCTATTACAAATTGTGCTGATATAAACATGGCTGGACATATATCATTGTGTATGATTCTTTTAATTCTTTTGAGAAGATAGCCAGCAGGAGATAGCTGGGTCAAATGAGACCTCTAGTCCTAGTTCTTTGAGGTATCTCCATACTGATTTCCACAGTGGTTGTACCAGTCTGCACTCTCACCAACAATGGAGAAGGGTTCCTTTCTCCCCACAACCCTGCCAGCATTTGTTATTGGTTGATTTTTTGATGGCAGCCATTCTTTCTGGGGTGAGGTGGAATTTAAGTGTTGTTTTTATCTGCATCTCTCGATTGACCAGTGATGTTCAACATTTTTTCATATGTTTATTTGCTCCTTTTACTTCTTTGTCTGAGAAATGTCTGTTCATTTCAGATGCCCATTTTTGAATTGGGTTTTTTAATTTGGGTGGTCTGATTTTTTTCAGTTTTTTTTATATTCTAGATAGTAGTCCTTTGTCTAAGGTACAGCTGCGAAAAATTTTTTCCCTTAAATTTTTTCTCTTA